TCCGAAACGACGCCAACACCCACAACAACGACGGCCCTGCGCACGGCGACCAAATCGCCCGTGGTCACGCCAGCACCGACCGAGGAGTCGACGGCGCTCGGTGTCTGGCCCGTCGTTGGCATCATTGCCGCGGGCGCCGTTGTCTTGGCCGCGGGTGTTGTCTGCTTTATCAAGCGCCGGCACATGCGTGGCTCGACGACGGTGCACGACGACCCGTTGACACCGACGCACGCAGCAGGCGCAGCGGTCTTTGAGACGTACACGGACGGCACGACACCGACGGCCGTCGACACAGCGCCGCGCTTCCAAAACGAGAACGACAGCTACATGGAAGAGCCGCGCCGGCCACAGCTCTGGGAAAGCACGCTCGAGTCGCAGCCGACCACGTCGTTCGTATCGGATAGCCACGGCAGCGCGTTCGACTCGTTCGTATCGCGGAGCAGCACGGGCAACGACACTTTTGTGCGCTAGTGTCTGCCGACGACTATTTAATAATCACATTGCTAGATACAAAAACAATATTGTCTTTTTATCTGGGGACGCGTTTCAACAACAGACCAGATGCAAACCGAGCCTCCCGTACAACGGAGCCTTGAACGCAAGGGCTTACTAGTGGAAGAGGCTTTTGATACAAACCGAGCGAGTTCCATCATCATCTTTGACAAAAAAAGGCTCGGGCGCTGTTTGAATGTTTCGGAAACAAACCTGCCTTTTCTTGCTCCTGAAGTCGGTGGATGCTACCCGGGTATATACAGAGAAGTTGTCGAGGCTAGTCTGTAAACGCAGTCGTTCGCGCAGTACATGTATCATCGCAGGACTCGACCACATGAGATATCTACGTCCGCGGCTCGTCGCACGCACTCTTGGGGATTTGGCACGTCACTGGTGCGAATGAAAAAAGCAGCGGGAACCGGTGATGCTTTCAAGCTTCCTCCGTGCGGACAAGCAGTCCTTTGGTTGTCCAGTTGCAGTTTGGCGTCGACTGGCATCCGACGCCATGTCCTCGGAGCCATCTGTAGCGAGAACTCAAAGGGCAAAAGTATATTCGTGGTTAGGGTTGAATGTCGTTTTGAAGCAACATCAGGCGTTAGCCGGAGCGGAAGCCGACGAGGAAGCCCGCCGCGTAGCCCGAGCCCGCGGGGAGACTGAACTCGAGGATGTCCATCATCTTCTTGTACATGACTTGGACGTCCTTGGCGTCGAATTTGCCGTCCTACAATGCATTTCCACATGAGCTCGCGACATAGATGGAGGTGGCAGGTGGACCTTGTTGATGTCGAGCATATCGGTGATGTCACGCTCGAGCTTCTTGTAGTTGACGTCGAGGTACCCGTAGTAGCTCGCGCATTGCATGGCCATAAAGGCACAGCCGAGCATGACGGCGCCGACTTTCGAGACCTTCTTGAGCGCAAAGCCCGAGCACGCACCCATCATGAAGCCCCAGGAGATCTGACCGCCCTGGCCGGACGCGAGGAAGTCGTTCACACGCGCTTGAAGGTCTTCGGGCGACGTCGGCACGGTCTTCGTCAAGTCGGTCAAGAACGTCTGGAGCTTGGCCAAGGCGTCGCCGGTCGTCTTGTCGTCGCCGCCCGCGCACTGCGCATCGTCCGAGCTCGCGGCCACGACGAGCCCGAGCGACAAGAGGCCTTGGCCGGCCTTCCAGTACATGGACATGTCGGGCGCAGGCCTATCCAACGTGGCGACGTGAGCATCGTCGACTATACGGCGGCGACACGTACGCGGCGAGCTCGATCGCGCGCTGCGGCGGCGCCTGCATGCGAACGCGCGTGGGCTGCTGGTAGAGGTTCGTCGGCGCGATGTACGCGCGCGCCTTGAGCTGGCGGCGGAGGATCGGGCGGCTGCGCGCGCCCGCGACGCGAAGGGCTTGCATCATGCTGGTCGACGTGACGCTTCTTTATGTGTTGACACATCGTCGTGCTTGCTCTATGTATCCGGACAGTCATCCGGATACGCCACCGGACGAAAGTTGCTGCAGCTGCCACCACCTTCTTGGTCGGTTGCCACGAGGTGGACATGCCTCGAGACTACATGCATCGAGTGGTGGCTGTCTCGCTTTACAGCGCTAGGTTATTAGCAGAAAGGCTGCGTGGCTTCAGCAGTCAAGCGGCTGCTAGTATGCTATCCACTAGAAGTTGAATGCATGTAGTCTCTCTAGCGTTGCTTGCTGTTGCGGACTTGGCAATGCGGCGCGAGGTTGCTGCCGTGACGGCTACACGTAATAGCTGCCCCTCGTGCGGACAGGCCGGATCATGAGATCAAGTCGTGAAGGATCTTGGTACCTCGATCGATGGTCAACCGACCTGGATAATCAACTGACGTATCCGTATTCTTGTGTTCGATCCAGGATCGTTTGGATTGCTCTGTGGCATCACCAGCTCCTCCATCCCGCTCCAGCCCGCAGTTGACGATGTAGAGCTCCAGGTAGAGCTCTAACGTTTTGGAGTAGATGCTCGCTACGGACAAAGCAGCGAATCTGGTCCGGACAAAATGCATTTTTGTCCGACTGCCGTCGTATCCGGACACCGGATAGTTCCAATTTGGACATGGCCAGCATCAGCGACCGCTTCGTCAAGTGCCCGGCGTGCCACGTCAACATCCCCAAGCAGGACCTTGCGATGGGCGAGGCGCCGGCCTGCACCGTGTGCCACGCGCCGCTGCCGGCGACGCTCTTCGCGGAGGCGGCGAGCGCAGCGCCGGCCAAGCCGGCCACGCAGCGCCGGTGGGTCGCGCTCACCTCTCGCCGAGGCAAGACATATTACCACAATAACGAGACGGGCGAAGACCGCTGGGACAAACCGTCGGACTTTGAAACCACGGTCTCGGTGCACGAGGCGCTGCCAGCCTTTGGTACCCTCTACCTCCCTTCCTGCTGTCGATCGATCGATACATCACGCGTGTTGGAATAGTCCCGTTCAAGAACGACGATCCGGTCCGAAATGCCATCATGTTGCAGCAGTCCAAGCAAGAAGCCAAAAAACATGGCATTCCCGAGAGTGTCGTGGACGCCCTCGCCAAGCAGCACCACACCGACGCGCCATCGCTCAACTCCACCATCGCGGCGATGCAGAAGCAGGCCGCCAAGGCAGCGCCCGTCCGCGCCAAAGAAGCTGCCCCGACACCGACGCCGCCAGCGCACAAGAATCCGATGCCTGCGCCTGCGAGCCTCGACGCCACGTCCTCGTCGTCGTCCTCGTCGTGCTGCCTCATGTAACATGGAGCTCCGGGATCGTTGCTTCGTGTTCTTGCCGCGAAATCGTATACCGGTAGACCGGCAAAAGATGGGGACGGGTATTGCGCTTGTTAAAGCAGATCGGATAGCACCCTAGCGTAAAGGTGGTGGGCTCTGCACGTTACTGCTGCGAACGCATGGATGACACAAGAGCAACGCGTGGCGTCCACTGGATGTACAAACGCTGGCAACAAGGCTTCTAACGTTACGGCCCGTAGACACCTCGCCCTCCTCCTTCCACTCAACGGCTCAGAGCCGCGGACGCTCGATGCGCCGCAGCATGCGACGGATGGTAGAGCCTCGCTGTTGCAGAGGCAACACGTCAAGTTGGGTGTCGGTTGAGCCCTCGCCAGCCGATTTGATTCTATCGATATGAGTCGCTTCCACTTTTAACGCTCCCACTCACCCTCGATTTTTGAAGTCCGCTTCAGGTCACGTCACTTGCCGACCCTACCCCCGATGGCAGTGCCCTCGCTGCAACCGCCATTTCCGGCGATCCCCATCCGGTCGACTCAAGAGGGCAAAGACAATTAGATATGGGATGGTGCCGATACTTCATACATGAGAAGCTCCGAGGATGAACTACGACGTACTAGTACACTGGTAGTGATACTCTGGCGTCACGTGTATAAACTGCGCATGGGCAACCATCATCGATGCAGCCATTACTTTGTTACCCAGTAGTCTCATGCGCCGTACTATAAGCACCGAGGAGGCCAAAGACGCGGGTTTTGCGGCGACTCGTGTCGCGGGCAGCTGCCGAGGTCTGGAGCCGAGGTTGAGGTTGAGGTTCGCGTTGCGAGAGCCATGCGACATGCCGACACCGACGCCTCGGATTCGTCCATCCTTTTTGTCCAATCATAACCCGCCATCCAGCGCGGCCTGGTCGGCCGTGGTGGAAAACCGAATTCCACGAGGTTTCGCCCATCTTGCAACGGCCACGTTCGTTGAACATCACGCACGTGATGACCACGGAATCCTCGGATGTTTCGATGGCACCGTGCTACCGACACGGTGTACTAGTTGCGACTGGACGGCTGTTGAGCTGCTCACTTGCATGTATGCTCTTGGTGCAAAGACGACCAGGTTCTGCAGAGCACGAGCCAGCACAACACCGCACACCCGCAAAACCCAGAAATGATCGAAACCAGATTTCAGAACAGCTTTGTGATACACCAAGCTCAAGACCAGAGTACTTCAGCGAGCAGCCACAATAGCTCCTCCGGCACGACGCTCCCAGAATGAAGAGGGGTGCACAAGGTGCACCAATTGACCAACAGACATGCACAGAGAAGCCATGTATCGTTATCGAACGCAGGATGCAGTGTATCTTGACCGCGTCGTCGTTGGCGTGTGCTGACCACCCTGGTACTGGATACAGAATTCACACGAGTCTTCTCCGATCTCTCGAAACAACGAGTGCAGCATCGTTGCGGGCTGCCTCTTGCGGCTGCTTGCTGGACCGAGCGACCGAGGGGTTTTGAACGTGTTTTGAGTTGAGCTGTAGCGATGCTGTGGGCGCAGTACAGCCGACGTCGGCTTGCCACCGTGTGTCCCGTTTTTTATTGGCGGTCGAATCCTTTTTGTAATTGCTGGATCCGGGACAAACTGGGACAAAGATCCGGACGGCTGCTTCATTTCGGCACAGCA